GCAGGGGATGCTGCCATCTGAGGAAAGCCTCGTGGAGCAGTGCTTGGGAGGAGGTTCCATCCATCCATCCACCCATCCACCCATCCACCTTGCTTCCCGGGGATCTCTCCCTCTTCCCGGCCATCGTGTGGCAGCACATGGAAGTGGTTCTGGCTCAGGGTTGTGATGTCTCCAGGTTCTGCACAAGTGACACAGTGGCTGCCCCGCTGCACCGTCCATGCTCCTGGCACCGAATTTGGGGGTCCTGGGGTGGGTCTTATGACCCCACGGGGGGGATTCGAGCACCTCCTGCCCTGCTGCATCCACCCCCTCCCTCGCTGGCAGTGGGACATCCGTGGGGTCTGTGGAGATGATTCCCTTCCCCGGCTCCCCCCGGGCTGGGCAGCGCTCGGAGCCGGCCCCTGGCGCAGCCGCTTGGCCGCCAGCCCGGCTGGGGAGGTCAGCGCTGGGTTTTGTCCTCGTTTCCTCCCTGGATCTTCCCTCCTCCTGTTTTTCCCGGGCAGGGGAGGGAGGGGGACAGTGGCTTTGCGTGTCTGCGGATCCCCCGGGCTCCTCCACCCGGGCAGTGGCTCCGCAGGAGGTCCCGCATCCCGCCGGCAGGAAGGCAGCAGCCCATCCCATCCCACCCCATCCCATCCCATCCCATCCCGCCGCCTGCTCCCGTGCCAGGGTGGCGGCTCGGGGACATCTCCATCAGCCGGGTGTCACTGGCTGTGCCAGGCACTGGCGGGGACCCCGCGGCCGGGCTGTCCTGTGTTTGCCAGGAGGACGCCTGCTCTGCCCCAATCCAGCAGCGTCTCCTCGGGGTTTAACTCCAGCCCCGGCTCCGGGCTTGGCGCAGCTCTGGAATTACCTGCAGAGCTTCTGCACCACGTGCTGGGTCTGGCTGAGCTGCCCAAAGAAACCCCTTTCAACCCTGAGCGAGGGGACAGGGACAGACAGACTGGTACATCCAGCCTGCTTTGGTGCCTTCCCAAGGGATTGGGATTTGTCCTGGGCTGGAAATGATGTGGCATTGCTGAAGCCTCAGTATTTTTGCAGCAGAGGCTGTGCCTGCAGAGGGGATGGTGCTCGACTTCACATGTGCTGGGATGGACTCCCAGGGCTTGGCATTGCCCTTGCTGTCACCCTTGGTGGGACAGAGGGATGGTGGCATCCCCCAGGAGCTGTGTCACCTCACTGGGCCGGTTTGGGGATGGGGGGTGATGGCAGGGTTGATGTCCATCCACCCTTAGAAGTATCACTGTGGCTTTGCAGCTCTGTGTGTGAAAGAAAAGGGGAAAACCATCCAGAGAGGCTGGTGGGGTTTAAAAATTAAAAAAACCCCATAAAATAAATGAGAAAGCACCAAGCCATTAACCCTCTGTGGGCTGTGCTGTCAGAAACCAGTGTCTGCTCCCAGGGGAGCAAAGCCTCGTGTTGCTCATCCCACCTCATCCCCCTGCTCATCCCACCTCATCCCCCTGTTCATCCCAGCTCATCCCCCTGCTCTCCCCATGCTGCCAGCAGGAGAGAGAAACCCAAATGAACCTTTCCCTCGTTTGCAGAGGTGTCCCCTTGGATGCAGATGGACAGGGATGGGAGAGGGATTTGCCCCTGTTCCCTTGTGCTGAGGACAGTCGTGGTGGGCCTGGTGCTGCTGTGCCAACTTCCCAGGCTGCTCCTGGGAAAACCTCGTTTGAGCCAAAGCCTGTAAATGCTGGGTATCATTAACAAAAAATTAAAACCAACAAAATGGGAGGGGAAAAAAAAAAAGCTTGGGAAGCATCTGACTGTCCCACAGCTGGGTTAATGCTCTTCTTCACTCGTGCAGAGGCTGGGAGGTGTTTTTTGGGATGTCTGACACCCTGGGGTGGGAGAGGCTCTGGGAGCATCGCTGATCCCCTTCCCCTTGTTGCTATAACAGGTATACGTCTCTATTTTAGACACACAGGGGAAAATCACCCCTTTACGTGGTGTCACCACCATCCCGAAGGTCATCCCTGGCCTCTGGAGGTGGGATGGGAGCATCCCCGCTGAGCGCGCAGTGCCGCTCCGGCAGCATCCCGGTGATCCCAGCGATCCCAAGGGCAGGATGCCGGCGGTGGGCGCTCGGGGCCGTGCCGGGGCCGGCGCCTCGCCAGGCGGGGCTGTGGCCGAGCTATTGTTTTCCCTTCCTGCTTGTTTTTCCGGACAACCCTCTCCTAATTAAATGAAAACACCCGTCGGGTCGGTCGGAGGAGAAGCGAACAAATCCCACCCCCGGCGCTGTCCCGTGCCGGGAGCACCCACGGGAGAGATCCCCGGGGAGGGAGGCGGCAGCGGGGCAGAGCAGCGAAGGTAGGGAGTGTTGGGATGTGGGTTATCCCTCTGCCATGTTTTCCATGTGTGGCCGTGGTCCAAAAATAGGTGGTTTGGCAGCGGGATGTGCACGGGCAGCGCCGCTGGTTCTGGGACGGCTTCGTCTTGGTGTATCCTGGTTTTGGGAGTCGTGGGAAGACACAGGCGTCACGTTATCCTTAAAAAACCCCTCTGGGCAGCCTCAAAACTATGGAGAAATGGCTGGAGGTTTCACCCAAGGGTCTGGAAAGCAGAGGGCAGATTGTGGGAGACTGAGGATTAAAACCGAAAGCACGAGTGTTTGGGATTTCTAATGATACCCCTTTGTATCATCTGAATTGATCTGTAAAAATAGGTTTATTAACATTATTTCTTTCCTTAGCAAAAGTCAAGCTTTGGCATTAAGTAGTCTCAGGCAAGCTCTTTCACCCTGAAGTGCAGCCATGTCCAAATTGAGAGGAGGACACGGGGTTTTTTTGAGGATCAAGTGCTGACATCGTATTCAGCTCCTTATTAAAGCACTTTTCCTTAATGCAATTTAATACTGAAGGTCAATGGTGAATGTTTTGGTGGTTGGAAAATGATAGAGAAAAGCAGATTGCCTTTTTTCATGGGCGTTTTGAGGGTGAAAAATTTAAAGAAATCTGGGTAGAAACTGGTTCGTGGGCACTTGGTCTTAACTGCTCTGCTTGAGGGTGAAGCAGGGGCTTGTCACCACCTAAATGTGCATTTTATGCCCCCAAAATCCCCCATGCTGTGGTATTTCAGGAGAGAGTTATGGTCCTTGATGCTCTGGTCATGAGGGCAACAGACACGGAAAGAAGGAAAGAGAGAAGGAAAGAGGGAAAGAAGGACAGAAAGAAGGAAAGAAGGAAGGAACAAAAGAAAGGAGGATGGAAAGAAAGAGAAAGAAAGAAAGAAAGAAAGAAAGAGAAAGAAAGAAAAGAAAGAAAGAAAAAGAAAGAAAAAGAAAGAAAGAAAAGAAAGAAAGAAAAAGAAAGAAAAAGAAAGAAAGAGAAAGAAAGAAAAAAAAAGAAAGAA